GTACATTGTAAGCAAGTGAAATTTGTGAAGTATTGTTAGTATGAATAACTCATGCTTGGAGTAGAATCTAGAAGCTGCTGGGAAAATGAGCTGTTCTTTTGGTCTGTCAGAAAAAGAATCTCTGAAAGAAGAAAAAGTGCATGATATGTGTCCATGATTAGGGACAAGGCACAACTGACACAATAGCCCTTTGATTTGTTTGCATATGGGTAGGATGTTCGTCTTAAAGGAATGGTTGGCCTTGGCATAGGGGAAGACTTCTGACAGCATTGCAAGGAATGGTTAGGAGGTGTCACAGGTGTGTTGGTCACAGAACAATTTCCAGTGCTGTGGGATGAGAAATGACCTCAAGAGAATGCTGCATGAGAGGATGACACAAGTTTTTGAGGTCTTAGCATTTTATCTGTCAATCTCTCAGCACAATGACTGATAACAATGCAAATTAATTGTTGAGAAGATATCACCAGGAATTTTTGCCTGTTTCTTTTGGATCTTGTAAATTAGTATCATTTTTTTTTTCTAATGTGTCTGGTGGCAAACTTGAAATCCCAGAAGTACTATGAGAAATGAGTAGCCCATGATAATAATGTTGGTCCAAATGAAGACTTTTACTCTGACCTCTAGTATGCACCAATGTTAGAAAGAATACTGGGTTATTCGGTACAGAAATTAGATTTAAAGCTCATTGTCTCTTGAAATCTTTGCCATTATCTCAAGGAAAAGAAGAAATCAAAATGTCAATTAAATGTGATAATTAATTACTAATTTATTGTTTTAAAACAACTGGTGTGCCTGTAAACTTTTTCTTAACTTCTTCAAACTGGGTAAATACCAAAAGGAAAGTAGTTAATCTGTTACTTGAAATAATATTCATTTAACATATTATCTTATTTAGCACTGAGTTCAGGTTTTTGTGCAGTTGTGATGGTCTGTTCCTATGATCCTACGTTGTCCTTTCAGCAGCTGCTGATGCTTCCTATATTTTGCACGTAGCTCCTGTAATGCCACTGCTGGAATTTTGTGTGTTGTTTAATATTCAAAATGTGATTGCATATGAAAGCTTTATAATGCAGTTAGAAAGGTTTCTTTGATAGTGGATATCAAGTTTTATTGATATAAATAAAAAGGAGATTGCATATCTAAATTGCCTTGGTTTCTTCAGTTTCAAAACTAGCTGAAAACTCACTGCAAGACTTGTCATACTGTATTTGTTTGATAAAGTGTTGTAGGCATAAGCTTACAGGTTCAGAAATATTGGGAAACTCTCCCTAGTCCTAAGAGGACTGTGTCCTATTTCATTTTTAGTCAATATTATGCTGTTATGCTTTCTGAACCTGCTCTGAGACTGAGAACACATGCTTCGTGTTGCATAAATATTGTTACTTTGCTGAGCTTTTCCAAAAGTGTTATTATTGGAAATAGCTGCAGCTGACAGAGGGAAACTGTAGGGCTTTCACAATTCCACCCAGCACCCACCACCCTCCCTGTGAAGTAATACATACCTGAAAACTGAAATAAATTGTCAGGACCTGTGTATTCATTATTTTTCTACTTTCAATCTTTCAAAGAGCAAAGAGTGAGAGAGATGGAATGAAAACAGACTTTTTGAGAACATAAATAGATATTTGATATAAATTGGGAACGTTACTGATATTAGTGGTAATACAAAATATGTATGCACTTTTAGTAATGTAATGATTTTAATGTTTTAAGGAAATAATGTTGTACTTTAGAAAGTGACTACTTTCATGTTTGGAAATTTAGTTTTGCTTTTATTCTTATTGGCTTTTATTCAACTTGTCTTACTTATTATTTCCAGGCAAGGCAAAAGCAGTGATATGGGTTGTGAAATGAACAATATGTATCCGTGCTTTGTGTATCTATTAAGATTACCTGTAGGTGCAGATGCAGTAAAAATGATTGATTCATCTAGAATATCCATGGACCACTTGGTCCATGTATATGGATATATACCAAATTGGAATGGATATGCTGAATTCTTTTGTATGCAATGTACAATTTAAACAGTTACAGTGGCTATTTTCTTGGGATCTCTGGATGTCTGGCAACCTGCTTGGAGATGCAGTATTTTCTGGCAGCAACAGCACTGCAACTTCTAATGTACTCATCAGAGCTTTTAAATTTACCAAACCCAAGATTTCCAAATGGAAAGATGTAATTGTGGAAGCTGATATGCTTGGGGACCTTAGAGAAATGAGACTATTGAAAGAAAATTGAATGAATTTAAGCCAAAAGCTATTTAATATCTAACTAGTAGTGGATGGATTTGGAAGGTACTTCAGCTCTCTACAGAAATCAAAACCAGGGATATAGCATATTCAGTTTTGTATTTTAAACTCACTAAAATTTGAGTTTACCATTCTAAACAAACAATTCTTTGGATTGCCCTTGAACATCTTCTACTGAAAAAAGTCATAAGGGTTCTAGATCTACTATCAATACAACTACAGTAAAAATAAATTCAGAACTGTACAGTATTTTGTTCTTGATAATGTCACATTTCTCAGTTAATAATTTATAAGTGCTAGAAGTGCTAAAACAGGTGCCATATTATTATTGTATTTATTTATTTATTTATTAATGTATATAAATATTCAATTGTTTTCTGATCCTTAGAATTTAATCTTGGTACAAATCCAAAAAAAAAGGGTAAAACCAGTAGCTGAGTTACAACACTCATTTGCAGAGAGGTTCTCAGGACCCTCCAGGAAGCTTTTAGGACTGGTACCTTAAATAATCTGAGTTGCAGCTCTGTGTTGTTACTTACTCTGCCAGTTTATCTTTCCAGCTAGTGTCCACAATTTGTGACCTGGGAGTTTGTGTATGATATTCTGAGACATCTTTACTACTGTTATTCCTAAAGTGGGTGAAGAAAAATTAGTGTGAGTGCAATTACCTGTGCTGCAGCCAAAATTTCCATTTTGGTCTCAGCATCTACGAATCCTTATCTACTGTCTGAGAAACTCATTGACCCCAGAAATTTCATTGTATTACTAGATTTTTTTTTTTTGAAACTTTTTGTCCAGTACTCTGGGAAGATGTTTGACTTTTTTTAACAAGAGCTTTAATGGAATCACTTTCAATAGATTTTTGAATAAGGAATAAGAAAGAGAATAAACATGAGATATTACCTGTACGTAAGATATTTAATTTTGAATAAAGCCTCTAATTGAGAAACATAAATTATTTTCAGTAAATAATTTCTTCAACTTCCTTCTGGAAAATAGAACACAAAATGAAGGAAGCTACAAAGAAAAATTTATATAAAAATTAGTTTTTTGTCTGGTACTTTCAGTCCCCATTTTCTCCTTGGCTTCTCAAGTTATTATGGAAACTGCAGTTTGAATTGACTCTAAACCTGTAAATATGTTTCAATGTTAGGTTGTCAGCTTAATTTTTGCCAAATACATTATTTTCTGCTTTAAAATGATCATTTTTAAAGGAAATTAAAAAAAAAAAAGAAGGAAAATATTATTCTCTATGATCAATAGAGTTCTGTCCTGTTCTTGAAGTATTTGAAAAATAATCATTTTTCTTCAGACACAAATCTGAAAGCATTGCAAAAAATACATTCTGTTTTTAGGTTTAGATAAACAGAAGGTGCATTATACAGCTATTAGAGATGCAAGCTGAATGAAGCATATGGAGTGCCCATTATAATAAAAGTAATTTGCTCTATCTGACTAATTTAAGCATAAAAAATTATAATGATCAATCTTGTATAAAATAGACAGGGATAACTCAGCAATATAATGTTAATTGTCTTAACATTCCAAAGCCCATATCGATTTTTAAATTACATTTTCCAAATGCCTGGTATCCAAGACCTAATGAATTATGTACATGACATATACTTTAAACTTACAGAAAGAGATTTCTGGTCATAAAGCCAGCTGGTCAGAAATTTCACAAAGCAGGCAGTTTTGTATTCAAAGTTGCAAGCAACCTAGCTTTTTTTTTTTTTTTCCCCTTCTTTAAAATTCAAAAAGACAAAGGAAAGAGAGAGAGAGAGAGAGAGAGAGGGAGAGAGAGAGAAAGGCAGAGAGAAAGAAATGCTGCTGAAGTTACAAAAATTGGCCAGGAGTACTTGTGCTGAGGCAGTCTGGCCCTGTAGACTCCTAAACAGCAAAGGATTTTCAAAGGGTGAATGCTTTGTACTATCTTCTATTCTAACTTCTGAAGGGACCCATTGGGGTGCTGTCATCATGACATACTTTTCACAATTCTGTCCACAATTTTTCTCTGAGAAATTGAGCAGGCAGTGCATTGACTTGTCCAGGTGCTCTAGTTATGTGTCTTTGGATAGGTTCTTTGGTGTGATGAAAAATCTACTCTTTGAGAAATAGCAAGGTGAATTGAGAATGACAAAGTAATGAGGAAAGGACTGAAGCTTATTGCCATCACAAATAATATAAATGTAAGTTTCTATCTGCCAGCCACCTCCCTTATAAAATAATAGTAGCTGTCAAGTAGCGAAGCTGCAAGGAATGATGATGTTGTTTAAAAAAGCATTTCGCTGCTATGTTTTCTCTTATGAGCAATGTTGATGTATGTAGTTCATGGTGTTCACATGATAAACAGTGTGCCCTCTTTATGAAATCAAGTTGTTGTATATCACACCCCCAGAAGCAGCAGTGTAGGAAAAGAAAGAAATAACAATACAATGGGAACAATGAAGTTGTAGGTTTGTCCTTGCAATTAATCAGTAAGGCATGACAGACTGTGTGCCAGTGCTGCTTAATCACCTCTTGGGTGCTTGGTGAGGCGTGGTACAAAGTTAAAGCCTTCCAGCACATCCAAACTGAACATTAATCACCAGTGCAGGGCAGCCTGTGTGACACAGCCGCGTTACAGAAGGGTTGCTGTGAAGCTCTGACTTACTCCAAGGAGCAGCCTTGGCCTCCCTGATGTGTGGGACAGATCTGACACAGATGCTGCAGATTGCTTGGTCCCACACAGGCACAAAATCTTGGGGCTGACTCCTAACCACTGCCTCTCTGTGCTGTCTTCCCCCACAACATCCCTTACTCTCACCTCCCCAGGACAGCTGAGAGCCCAGTGAAACAGGCTTCTGCCACCAGGTGGGTGGGGAAATACTTCACCTATCCAAAGAACTGCTGTTTTAGGGGCTTTTGTTTTCTTTGTCTTTGGCTTTATCTTGTCAACTCCACAGAAAGGGCTGATGATCTTGGAGCAGTAGTAATAACTGCATCCTTGGGGGGCAGGAACTCGACTGCTCCCATGTGGCTTTTCTGACATTATTGGCACAGAGATGAAATTGCATTCGTCCAGCCCAACAAATCATACTGGATGGCCTTTCTGAAAGCATTGCCTCTACTGATAGGTATCTCACGCCTTTTAACTAACTCTCATTTTCACAGAAATATCCTGGGGCCCATTTTAAAAATCAAGCTTAAAACAAAACTTCAGCAAGATGATGACAGAGGGTATATGAAGAGATGAAATGAAAGGCAAGTGGAGAAGGTAAGAGGTAAAAGCAGACCTTTTACTTAGCAGTGCCAGGGTTTCATATCAGAAACAGCTGACAATCCTTTTTAGCCCTGTTACTTTGGCTTTGTAGGCAGGAGTTAAATTTACTGTAGTTGACACAACACAGTCTGAAGTAATTTGGCTATCATGACTTCTTAACTATGATAAAAATGCTCCCTCTGATGTGCGCAATAGTATGTAAGAAAACTTTATTATATGGAACTGGGAACTGTATCCAACTATGTTAATAAGAAACAGTTAAAGTAAGAAATTACTGTTTGTGATTTCTCAAGGTACAGAAGCTTGGTAGGATGGAGAGTCTGGCATCAAAGATGTTCCCATCAAGAGAGAAACATTTAAAAGAACAAACCACAACATAGGAGCAATGTAAAAAAGCAAGATACGAAGGGAAGCTGTGTAGTTGTCTGCAAGTGAAGGTGGTTGTTCTGAAATACCAGTGGTAATTATAAAACTGTTTTTTTTTGTTGTTGTTGTTGTTGTTTGTTTTTTGTTGTTGTTGTTGTTGTTTTTTTCAGTGCACAAATGATAACAAAGCTGCAAGGCTCAGAAACTCAGTTCAGTGATGTTCAGAAATGCACTCCTGCTTCGTTTCTTCCCCAAAATCTCTTGAAGTTGGCTGCTCTGCAGGTGATTTCTCCACAGCAGAGACTGGAGACTGACTCACAAGAAGGACAGATAGTATAGGAGTTACATTGTTGTTCATCAGCCATCGTTTCAGTGTGTTAGTTTAAGATTTAACTAAAAAATAATTTATTGCTATTCTCCCCTTAGTGTTGAAAAAGATCTTGTATCACTAGGGTCCAGGAACGTGTAAACAGTTTCTTCATGGGTGAACTTGCCTAAGGGAGTAAATGTATTTTTGCTGGGCTAATGGTTGTATCTGGGGAGAAAGTCACATAGCCCACGGATATTATTTCTCTCTCTTTTTTTTTTTTTTTTTTTTTTGTCAGTTACGGGAAAAAGATATACGTGGGTCACTGAGAGCAAAAATTAAAGGTCATGCAAATTGAGCCCCAGTCATGCTTGCTTTTCTTCACTACTATTCTGCTCCCATTGAAAGAGCGATGAGATCTCACCTATAAGAGTAGGCACCAAGAGAGAAAAGCTTCTCTTGCTTTTATGGACACAGCAACAAAGCACAGGAAATCTTTGAGTTTCAGGGTTTACCACTCAGCACCAGGGCTTCACGCATGGTCCCCAGTCAGTGAAGCTGAAAGAGTTCAGCAGAGATTAAGTGGATGCTCTCTGAATTAGAATAGAAATGAATTAGAATAGAAAACCCTTTCGGTCTGTCAAAGAAGCACTTTTGTCTTTCAGTCAAGACAAAGTATTAATACAATTAAAGAAGAGAGTTAATGTGTTGCTAGAGAACATTAATAAATATTAAAAATATGTACATGTATGGATCTTCTGATTATTTTCACTTTTATTAATACCAGTTTATTTTTAGTTAACTATGTCAGACTATGTCTATCTGTCTGGTTCCTTTGCATGTCTTTGCCCAACTCCATTTCCCTTGCACATAATCAGAGCTATCTCATTTCTTACATTGGTTCATGAAACAGAAGTTGGAAGTACTGCTAAAGGGATCCATCAAAGAGATTTAATCCTTGTAGGAACTGGATCTGAATTTAGACTTTTGAAATGTTTGGAGTTATACTGATGTCAGTCAGATATCTGAGCCATAATTTCTGGACATATCAATCAGATAGTCTTTCCTCTGCAAATTATACAATTTATAAGTGATGTCAAATTAAAAAAAAAAAAAATCAAAAATATAAATAATCATTCATTTAAAAATCAGTGAATTTACAGGCAAGTTTTTACTTTTTTTGTTGTTGTTGTTGTTTGTTTTCAGTTTCCTGAACTGTTTTCTTGCTTAATACATATGTATATATTTTTATATTATTATTTTATTTTCTTTAACCTAGTGTGGTATGTAAGAAATCAATCTTGTTTCCATACTTAAAATAAAAATAAAATTAATCCCAAATGGTTAAGATCATCCAGTACTTCTGCACATCTGTTCGGCCTAACTGCTTTACAAGGGCATAATATCTGCTCTAGTTATTTGGTTAGTCATCTATGTTTATCACTGTCTGCACATTTGAAAGGCACATGGTGACGGATTTTGTCCCCAGAAGAGGTGAGGGGGGACAAAAGCCTGTGAGTAACAGGCACATATGTTAATCTCAGAAAAAAGGCCCTTAGTTTGGCCTGATAGAAAATTGTATTAATTACCATGATGAAATGACAGTACCTCTAAAATCTAAAGTTGTTTTGCAACAGTAAGAAAGAAAAAGAGGAAAAAAAAAAAAAAAAAAGAAAGTAAATGTTGATACGGAGAAAATATTCTGAATTTGGTAATGTAAGTTCTTTTGGCACAATTTAATTTTAGCCCACAGATGCTATTTAATTTCACCTCCAGTCTCTATTTACAACAATATTTTTAGCTATGCAATTATAAGAGGGATACATTCTCTTGTAATGCTCTTTTGCATGAATTGTCTATGTCAGAAATATTTGGGCCCTTGTACTTCAAAAAAATTGTTTGTGATTCTCATTCAGTGTCAGAGAATATCGGGAGGTTGGGGATTTCCTTTGTTTTCAGGACACAGTGAGGCTATATCACCCACCTGTTGTCAGGCTGTGGGTCAGTGCAAGATCCAGTAATAGAAGCTATTACTACCAGGTACCTTCTCTTGTATTCAGCAGCTTTGTTTTGTTTCACTTATAACTTTTTTTTTTTTTTTTTTTTTTTTTTTTGGCAAAAGAGAGTGTCAGTAGCACTGTCAGTATGTCCTCTAGGAACCAGAAGCCAATGGACCTGAATGTGGATCTGAACAGCTGCATATCAGGTAAAGCTATAGGAGACCTGCACTCAGAATGTATATGGTGAATATGGGAAGATTAGAACTGAAACGTCTACTTTGACTTTTGTCTCTGATAGCAATATCTTTATTTAGGCATGCAAAAGCTTTTCCTGCTTCATCTGGCAATAGTGTTTTGCAGCAGGGAACTAGGAGTGAGAGAAGGATGCAGATCAGTCCCTTGTCTCTCCCATGCCTCAGACTCCTTGGAAATACAGAGAACTCTTATTTCTGTCTTTACTGTCATGCTCACTTGTCCTTTTAACCACAGAAGTCTGGAGAAGAAAAACTGAAGTTTTGGTTTCTTAAAACAAAAACTTCAAGATTTATTCTGTGATTTCTCTTTATATGTAGAGATCTTATCTGCACTCTTAATGTTGCAGACTTCCACTATCATATATCTGTAATTGGTTTCAATATAATTTAGTTGTCGCGAATGTTGCTATGCCTGATTTCTCCTCCGATTAATGATAGTGCAAACCTGTTATTTTTATCTTGAAATGCATACATAGAATGGAGGCTGGGTGACACCCTCCCTTCATGTGTAATGCTGTTTAATTTACTCAGTTGAAATGCATTTTTGAGAAAGCAGGTGTTATTATATTCTTCTTTATTTCTTTCTGACTTGTCAGTGATGACAGATGGGAAATATCTTCCTAGTAGATTTCTAAATCTTGTGCTCTAAGAGATAAATATATTGAAATGGTGATTTCTGTCAAAATTACTTTAATCTTATAGGGCAGGACAATACTCTTTGGCTTTCATTCCTACCTCCCCTTTTACTCCATAATTTGTGTTTTATCTTGTGGTCTGAATATAAAAGTAATGGACATTTCTGAAATGATCGGTAAAATCCGAAATGATTCCTGAATTGTAGTGGTTGTTGCTTGCACAATATCAATATCTGAGTTCTTCCTTTTCCTGAATGATCTTGCTGTTACTGTGAATTTAAAATAATCTTGTTTATTTTGCTTGTGTTTCATTTACTTTTTTTCTTTCTGCAAGGTTCTGCAGTTGTGATTAAATGCTTGCTTTTTTTTTTTTTTTTTGTGGTAGCAGGCAGCCAGTGAAAGCTAGTAAGTGTCAGGCATATATGCCCTTAGTGCTGTCATCCTCATCATCCCACCAGCTTCCTTTCCACCACCTTACCTTATTTATTTATTTACTTACTTATTCTGTGACACTTGTACTCAGCTTTATTTCTGTTTAAACAACTGGTTATTTGCTTGCTCCTTGGTCGTTGTTATATATTATAACTACTTCTGAGGTCATTAGTATTGTAGTTCATTCATTTGATTTATTCAAGAGGAGGAAATTCCTGAAATTTATGTCCATTTTTCTGTCTGTTGAGATATGGGAGAAGGATGATGATCCATCAGTTGCTTTCACTTATAAACCTATTTTTTTTTAATTATTTCTTTTGTGTGTGTGTGTTAAGTATTGCAGGCATATATGCAACATTTATGTGTCTTGAAACTGCTTGAAAACTTGTCTTTCTCATGCTAGGTATTTATATTTCAAAAATCTACAGTTGAATTTTTCTGTGCTTAATAGAAAGATTTATCAATTTAATATTATACACTGATTATGCACATTAAATTGAATGCAAGACACGTCAATCTCTCTTTTAGTCTGATTGCAATGGGAAGAAACATTTTCATGAGAGAGTCTGTATTAATAGTTGATAAGGGTATAATGCGGAGTTCAGTTATTTTTAACTTTCCTTTTAACAAGCTGCTCTGAAGAGCACATGGAATGAAATCCTGACTAAAGATTAAAGTTGATCAGAAATATCATGATCTCTCTGTGAAGAAATAACCATGTGGTGTTTTTTTTTGCCAACTTGAGATAAAATCCAGATTTCATTTTTAATTGGTGTGTCCAAGCAACCATCTAATTGCCCTGTCCCTCTTTATTTTATTTATTTTTTAAGTCCTTTTCTTTCACCTGGGATATGTTATCCCCGTAATATTCGGAGTTGGGGTCACACTCCTCCCCTTGACACCTAGTAAGAGAAGAACTGAGATTTTTAAATCAAAGATGATTCCAAAGTCATGTCATCCTCAAAGGTGAGGGAGAAGCCTTCAGCTTCCTCATGCAACTTCTCACCTGACTGCTCCTGGCCACCTGTGCCTGGTCTCTCTGAAGCTCATAAAATACCTGAGACCATGTGGAAGTAGACAGCTGATTCTTTTACTGGCATTAATAGAAAAGAGAATATTCTCTTTGTTTATAATCCTGGTGCAAGGCTCTTTCATGTTTCTTTGCTTTCTTTTGGTTTCATTTGACAAAATTTCCTTTCACAGGGAAAGGCATAGGGAAGAAGTTTGCTTAGGGTTTGGAAGCAGTTCCTACAAACCAGGGACATGCAAGTGATTATATTGCTTGTTAGCACAATATTTATGCTGGTGTACAAGTACAAGGACATGGGAGGGCATGGTGCTGATAGAGAGAGGGGGAGCAATGCTCTGTGTGTGCTAATCAGGGAAGCTGGAAATCCCTTGCGCTCTATTACTAGGGTCAGTATCTTGTGGTAGTGAAGCAATTGGGGAGTGATTGCTCTCATATTTCAGCATCTCTAGGAGTGACATTAGAGGTGAATTTGATGTCATAGCCAAACTCTCTTCAAGAGAGTGTTCATGCAGAAGGAAATATTTGGGGCTTGAATATGTTTCTGTGTCTCCTAGTAAGGACCTTTGACAGAAACAAACAAACAAACAAAAACAACCAAGTGTTCCTACGAATTCTACAAATATAAGGATACATAATTGTCTTCCTTTTCTCATATGAATATATGGATGAAACCTCACCATTTCGCTGTCCATTTGTGTTTGAAGGTCTGGTTGTCAAGTTCTAAGATATTTTGCCAGCCCTCCTCCCCATTTCGCACATTTAAAAGTGAGTGTGAATGCGTTAGACTGCGTAAGAAATGTAATTTGTCTTTTAGAAGTGTCTTTCCAGTGATTTAACTTATTTTTTTCTTTCCTACAGCATTTATAGTGTTACTTTGAAATGCCAAAATCTTTTGTAGTTCTTAAAATGAATGTGTGCCAAATCAATACTTATTTACGTCCTTGGATGAAATCTTCAAAAGCGTCTTGGCAATTATTTGAAAAGGAAGAGATGAATATGAAGAGAGTTTTAATTTAATATTTAATTTCATTAAGGACCTTGAAGCACAAAGTGAGAGCATTATTTATAACACAAATCTCTGAGTACTTCTTAGTAAAGAGAAGGATCAGAATATCACATAGCAGAATAGGGTCACCTAGAGGAGACAGTAATAGAAATGTGATGATATTCACTAGGGCAAAGTCCCAAGGTTGTGTTGTTCCTGTTACTATTTTTTAAGGATGGAAATAGATGCAGGAGGAGAAAGATCTAAGAAATATGAGGCAGTGACAGAATGAATGAGAAACCAAAATGATATGGTAAAGAAAAAAGTAAGTGTAGTTTTACTATGTATCAGGTGAGATTTTTAGGGAAGACTGGGAACTCTTAAGACTATTTTAAAGAAACAGGTGAGACTTCACCTGGAATTTTATGTGTGTTTCTGTCATGCATTGTTTAACTGGAGCTGGAACAGACTATTAGGATGATCAGAGGAATAGAGAGCATCCTGTTATGAAAGAAAACTATTGTCTTCAAGTTGCTGAAATGTAGGTTTGCAAATAATGGAAATTGGATAGTAGCTAGGGTAAAGAATTACTTAAACTTCCCAGAAATGTTGATGTGACTTCTTAGCTTTGAGGAACACTAAGAATAAGAAAATAAAATGAGTCACTTCCTATTTAGAAAGTTTGGTCAGCAGTGGTCAACCTTGTCTGCTGTTTTGTCTCTGGTAGATTTTCAGGGAATACAAGTGACCTGCTCAATTTGTGGTTTGTTCTCTGCACTATTCCACTGCCTCTAGTAATTGTTTCAGGCATGTTAGGGAAAATACTTCTGGGCATTATCTTTAGTATT